CTGATTCCTATCCTAATTCAAACAGAGCAATCTGTTGCTGAATCTTGGCAAAGGCAGGCAGACGTAAACAAGACAGGCTCCCACTCTGTTCCTGAATATATCTACAGAAAGCATGGAAATAATTTTGAAAGTCTCCTGATTTTAAAAGCCCTATTAGGTTCCCCCTCATACTCAATCACCTGTTTTCCCACTTCAGTGTGGGAAAATAAACAACACTTAAGGTGTCTTTGAGGAAATTAAAAGTCGCAAAAAGCTGTCACCATTGCTGCATCTCCTTCATCTTCAACATTTTAGCCTAGGACATATGTACCAGCACTATTTTAGAATCACCATATAATCACTGCCTGAGCAGGTCTCACCAGCATCAGGTTAAACATCAGGAAGACAGCTTTTAGCTCATGTTCACGAATGTTCCTGCTACCTGCTAAACACTATCTGAACAAATAAAAGTTACAAAAAATCAGCATTGTTTTCTGATATCTGCAATTTCTTCAGTATGTAGGAGGTTTGTACTTTATAAACTGTTCTGACATTAGGAACTGAAACACTGCAAGGTCCCTTACAGCCAGACTGTCCTTCTGGGATGTATTTTCATAATGCTGAGGGGCCAGTAGCAATAAATAGCAGTTTAAGTCTTTCCATTAGCTGGATCAAGAAATTATTTCCTTTGAGGCAGTAAGTCAGGAAGCCTTGGAAAAAATGCCCATAAAACTAGCTTACTGAGGTTTTTTGCTTCGATGTTAACAGCTTACTTGAAGTGAGGTTTGAAAAAGGAAAGGCCCAAGTTTACCTATGCGTCTCCTCATCTGGGTTACCAGAAGAACACTGACAAGAAAATACCAAACAAAATCTGTTTGTTAGCTTCAATAAAAAAGCTGCATCCATAAAAGAGGATACCATTAGAAGAGGTTTAATTAAAAAAGAAATCCAACAGCTCTCCAGGAAGCCATACTTTTTTTGGGAGATCACGCATCTTATTTAGACTTTCACTGCGAGTTGAACATCTAATCAAAATACGCAGCACTACAGCATTTTCAAGTTGCCTTCAGCAGGGTAAGTTCCATTTCAGCCTAAATCAGCATCAGACTCCATGGCAAAACCTCAATGACAGCTTAGTCGTACTTTAAACAGTTTTAGAAGTCTTTCCAAAATTCATATAGGTTGTTCCAGTACAGGAAGTATTGTAATAAATATTAGAATACAGATTACAGAGAGACTGGTTTGTTAATCATAATGCAGGTAATAAAATATCCACTGAATCCTGCTCAAAGCAGCATTTATTAAAGATAGTATCAAGATAAGTCAATGCATAATGAAGCCATAATGAAGCTTTCTCTCCTACAAATATGTAAACAAAATGACAGCAAGTTTTTATTACAATATAAAAATTAAAGCTTATATTGCATTCTCTTTAAAGCTACTAAAGTCAGTCTCAACGTAGACAGTCTCTGGTCTGTAGCATTTAAAAATACGAGTTCTTGAAAAGTGTTAAAAGTATTGCCTTTGTACATACACATTTTTGTAGAAAAAATACTTTAAAATACCAACTTCCCATTAATAAAAGCAACACCAAAAATAAAACACAACTTTTGTCATGAACAGTGCTTTAAATGCATCTAGCATTTAGTCCACCATTCTGTTTAACCAAATTATCTTCTGTTCATTTTAAAATTCGTTATAGTTTGCAAAAAGTGTCTTGGATAATATTCAGTTACTTTGACATAGCAAAGCAATTAGCATTAAGTAGCTAATATTGGCAATTACCTTATAACCAGAGTCTGGCCTAAGTTTATTTGCAACTGAGGCCATCAATTTAATCCTCATCTCAAACTGTGTATTTTAATATGTACAGTAGACTCTTGCTGAGAAATCTGAGTCAGTTCAGATATATTTTGGAAAGGCTTGAAGCCTCTATGATTTAACAAGAAATACATATTCTCTTTTAAATTTACATAGAGGTTAAAGGTATTTTGACTACATTAGCAGTTTTTTGTTGGTGGCAGTCAGTCACTTCTCAGGGAACACTTTGTTCCTAAGATTATATAATTTGTCATGAACTACATTTTACATCCAAAACCAAAAAAGAATAAGTTAAATTTTGATTTTTGTTTAACATTTTTCCAATAAATTTACTGGCAAGAGCTAGACAGATCACTTCTGCAGTTGCTAAGGCAAAAAAGTTTGAAAATTCCCTGTACACAAAGTTTACAAGATTGCATAATATTCCAAACTAAAATAAATTCAACAAGCAGAGAGAAATACATATCATTGGGATGAAAGCTTATCGTGCCCTTGTGCCCTGCCAAGCATCAGCTGACAATAAACAGCAACCAAACAGAAAAAAAGATAGAGTGAACCAGTTTCAGGATGAATTAAAAGACCAAAATGGAGCTATGAAAAAAAAAAATTTGACAGTAGGATATTAGACTGAAAAAAACCATCCAGGTAAACAGTGGAAGTTTTATCACTTAAGACAGTATCTGAAAGAACACAAGTACATTTATATGCAAACAGTAATGAATATGAATAATACTGCCAGCTTTACTAGTTCCATGCATAGTTCAGAAAAAGGAGTTTATTTAGCCTCTGTCACTACTTAATTAGCATGTTACAGTCCGCCAGAAGCCTCAAGTACATAGCAACATGTAGAGCAATTTACTGACCACACGTGTGGTGGAGTCTAAACTGCCAAAATCATCTCTAGCCCTGGAAATGTGAAACAGAACACAACCTCCAAAAGAGGATCTACATGAACCTGTAACAGAAAATGTTATTCTGAAAGAAGGGCTTACCCTGCTCTTTCGTACAGGATTCTGATCTGTAGAAAGATGACAATTTTATTGCCATGCTTGCCAGTAGAACAAACAGAATGAGTTAAAGCAAGATGTGGCAGCAAGTGCTCAAGGAGGATGCTCAGCTGGAGAGTAAGAGTTAGAGATTCCACCCAAGGCCCAGGTTAGTCTAATTTTCAAAGAGAGGCTAGATGCAAATACATACAAAAGCCTCAGTTTCCTCTAAAGTCTTACATACCTTAACACACAAACAGCCTTTCCCTGCATTAAGGGAAACAGATGAGAAGCACAAACCTTCCTGGGGCACAAGTGACGAACCACGCCCCAGGGAGGCTGCCCTTCTGAGCACTGCCTCCCCGACAGACAACAGCTCCTTATAAAGGCTTGATAACAAGTTGCAGTTTTGGTCAGCGGATGGGATGTTTGCACTATACTCATCTGTGAGAGAGCATCCTTCTGGTCTTCTGGTACAAAACTATCTTTGAGTAAAGTAATACAAGCTTTGGCCTTTTAATCACATATGGACTGTTGCAAGTTCTTACTAAAGCATTTCACTTCCTTGGACATGCTAAAAGAACTGCACCATCTGTACTGCTATATTTGACCAAGGCTTTGCACTTGGCTTACAAATGAACAGTGAGTAACAAATGAATGCGTGAGCAACGCAATGCAAAAACAAACCAGCTGCATTTTTATCCATAAAATTCAAACCCTGGCCCAAAGTCTACAGAAGACTACTTCAAATGGCAGTTTATATTAACAGGCCATTAAATGCCTACCAGCAGGGAACCTGCTATAGCTGTAATATAAAGAAAAATAACTGCAGCAGGCCCAAGCCTCAAGACTATGTTTAAAAGCACTAAGTAGACTTGCAGTTGACTATCCTATCTGGGGGAAGGTCTAAGGAGTGGAGTCTGAGATCCAAGGATAAGAGGGATCACACGCCATTTTCTCTTCAAGAAAAGTAACACCACCTCTCCCTGTGACAAGTAATAGAATACTATCTATGCAAAGTGGGTGCTTTCTCCCTGAATCCACAGTGGAAACAGTCACACAGAAAACTGAAATGAGCCTAAGTCTCAGAAATGCAGAAAATAGAACCAATGAGGACCTCAAAAAGTCATTTTGATAAGTCTCTACCTTGAATCATTCCAAAATTAATCATTCCAAAATTAATTTTTGTGCAAACAGTTATGCCATGGGACTCGTGGTTATAAAATGGCTGACTAAATAATCTATATTTTTAGAAAAAGCTATTTGCATATAAATATTTTAGTAATAACTTTAGCAATAAAAGTACTACACAGCCAATTTTGGAATCCACATATGATATGAAAAATACACACATACATGTTCCTATATATATATATTCATTCTTAAAGCAATGCAGAGCAAAACCTAACCAGGGCCTGAATAATCTATCATACATGCCTTTATGTCAGCATGACTTCTAATACACAGCTGATGGGCTGATCAGATCCCTGAGGTCTATCACTGGAATTGCTACAAGTTTTACTTAACACAATTTTAACGAAGAACTGCCTTAAACCATGTTACACCTCTCTAGGTAAAAGACAAAGAGACAAAAAAACCACCACCACCACCACAAAAACCCCACACACAGACAAAAAGACCACACAGCCTTGTAATAGAAAGGCACCTGATAATATTGTTAAGTGTTAGTAGCAATTATCTACAGCATCCTAAGTGTACTTAAGCAATCAAATTTGTAAAAGATCATGAAATACAAGAATTGCTGGCATTCAAAAGAGAAGTCTAACCTACATAAGAAGTCACTAAAATGACATGTGCAGATGTAAATCAGTAAGAGTGTGCAAAACTGCATAGTTTTGCATAAAGTGCTAAATGTATCCCCAGTTTGCACCTATTAGTGTTATTTAAGTTTGTTAAGCTTGGCAATATGATGCAAGAAGATGATCTTAAGGATGTACCGTATCTACCATATCTTTCTTTTTTCTTCCCCACCATCACCCACTGTCCTCTAAACTGTACATTTTCAAATTACACAAAGGTCTTTTCAGGAACTGTAGTTCAGAAAAATATTTCAAGTATACTTATCTTTCCATGTAAACTTGAGGACACTATGGGTTCAATTTTCACAAGTTACAAATACTTACAACTTCTAATAATTCAATTGGAGTTGTAATTACTTCGGTCTGTTCAGTACCTCTGGAAAAAGGCTGTCTCCTGTTACTCATTTAACTGCCATTTAAGGAGTGCTGAAATTAATTCTATAACTTGTCCAGATTTAAGTCTAAACAATAAGCAATTACAGAAAAGCAGAGCAATACTTTATCCAACCATTTAGGTTCATAAAACCAAGTTCTACTGTATCTATTCGTATATACTCATCATATGAATCATACACAGATCTTTAACACTTGACACACTGAATTCAAGTTATTATAATACAGCAGTTTTTCTTGCAGGCATTATGCAATACACTTAGAAGTATACAGCGGGTCTCTTCTTCACTCTGTATTTCAGTGATCCATACCGTATCTGAGGGGGAAGAAAAAAATATAACAGAGTTCCAATCACTTCAGGCAGGAAAATAATTTCCTTTCCACTAATCCCATCTAGTAAGCATCTTTAAATGTGATTTGCACGCTCCACAGTTTCAGTAAAAGAATACACCTATGACCGAACAAGATACAGTTTCAACAGAATTATGCAGGATGGGTAAGGCTCAACTATTTTCCCAGAATTACCCAAAAACTTTTATGAGATTCCATAGAGATTTATCCTGAAGCATCTTTAAGTTTTGTGACATACGCAAATACAAAGCACTTCGAATCGTACACAGAATCTTCTCTTTGTGGGTTATAAGTTAAAGCAGGCCATATGTCTATGGGAACGAAAAAAGTCAGAATCTTCTTTAATCCATTGAACAGGAGATGTTTAAGTGTACACAACCAAGACATACAAATGCAGAACGCAATACGACTATCTACACCCCTTTTAAGGTGACCAGTTTCTGGAATTTGGGCTTGGTGGTGCCAGAATTAGCATTAAAAGCACAGAGTCTATTTCATCTCCTCTCCTTTTTTCCTTGCTTAGTTTATTTCATGTATTTCCCCAAAATACAAATGCTCCATACTTAGATATTGTTATCACATACTTCCTTCTCTATTTAGGTTTCTACAACCCAGTTATTGTTGATAACCCCTCTAAGATTAAGGAAAAAAAAATTCTGCATTAAAAATGCCAAGGTACATTGTTAAAAACAAGCTCAATACTTAAATAAGATTATACTTGCCTCTTTACGGCCTTTAATAGTTTTCACAGATTTCATGCTCTGAGTTCTTCGAAGGCCTCTCTGAGCAAACATTTCATCCTCTGAATGTGTCCCCTCCATCTCTTCATCTGTTTTATCATCTCCAGGATTTTTTTCCAGTGGAGTTTTGTAACCTTTAAAAAGCAGTTTTATAGAAATGTTTAATAAGAATGTAGCTGTAACTTTTAGATTTCTAAGAAAGCCATAAGTTTCATTTTAAACACATAATATAGTCAGTCTGACAGCTGTTTCAAAACAGTGAAACATTTAGTCTGCCAGCAGCTTGTTATTTATAATTCTGACATTTGTTAAGTAACAACCCACTTTGTTCCTTAGGTATGCAATGCAGTGGTTCCTCAATTGTCAAAAATTAAATCATCAGTCTACTACCTTTACTGAACTGCAAAAATCTTGGTGGTCATCTTGATAAGTACTTAAGGTTTTTGGCAACAAACCCTATGTGAAGTGGGTTAGACTAGATGATCTCTAAAGGTCTCTTCCAACCCAAACCATTCTATGATTCTGTGATTCATAGCATCTTTCTTCATGCTTGCATATCACTCTGCATATTTAATACCAAAGTTCTTTTACGAAGAAGGGCTGTTTACCTCCTGTACAAATAGGACCAAGATTATTACCAAAAATTTCACTAGAGGGCGCAAACTGCTTAAGAACACACGCTGGAAAGATCCCTGGGGTCCCAAAGCCCTGACTCCCCATCACAGGTCTATCATAAGGTCCCCAAATGTAGTCTGGTTCTTTCCCCCTGCCAAGCTCTCCTTTCATATGGCCTTTCCAGAACCTACACGCTATAACACTCGGGGACACCGTTTAGACTCCAAACCCAACTTTATTCATGATCAAGATCAATGAACATTCCATCATAAGCCAGAATTTTATTTAGGCTTAACTAGATTCTTTTCCTTTGGCCATCTCATTTTTTCCCTGAAATTAGAATCACACTCAAGTACTCCACAGCTACATAAGGCAGACTTGCCATTCTAGAGGCAACATGTCTCTGCCTCCAAATAGTTTCAATTAATCTTTTTCAATATGGAAGATTTGAATCATATCTGTTACTCATACAGTTTCTGACTAGGGATATTTGCAGTGGCACGAATACTTCCTTACCTCCATTTGGAACACCACTTCTGATGTATCAAAATCACATTTGCCTTTTTCACAGTAATCCTCAGTCATCCTCTGATCAATGTCCTTCTACAACTAGGTCTTTTCAACTAACTTGCGCAGGAACTCCCAGCTCAGATCACAAAAAATAACATTCTGCTAAGTGCAATGAAATACTGCTATGTAGCATTCCTAACTCCATCCATGGTCTGTTCTTTTTTTAAATCGCTAATGCTGAAGAAAAATTCAAAGAAAACAGAAAAGGTGTACACTAGATTTGAGCCAGGAGTGGAAACAATTACATTAAACTAGCTCTAAGAAAGCATTTTTACATATGAGATTGAATCTCACAATCAGTGGTTATTTACACAGTATAAACTGTACCCGAGTAATTTTTTTTTAATGGAATTTTGAGCATTTTCAAGCTATTTCACATAGATAACTCATGTTTTCTCACCGAGGAACACCCCCTGCACAACAGCTGCAGTGACATCATTCCTAATGCAACTCTTGATGAATTTACCCTGACCTGCACAGGATATCTTCTGGGCAAAATTAGCAATACAGCTTGGGGCCATTCAAGTGGCCATTTATTCCTCAGAAACATCATTGGCTACCATGCAATTACTAGAATTCCCTGAACTCCACAAGCACCACTCCCTCTCTGAAATGGAGGGATGAGATGAAATGACATGCTTAGGTGAAAACAAAAGAAATACACCAGAGCTGTTTCTTTTGGGGAAAATACCAACTACTTTACATCATAGCTGCACCATTTAAAAAGGTGCAATTGCCAGCCTTCCAGTGAAACCTTCCTTCAAGCATCACAGGCTCAAGAGCAAAGTGATGATGACGACGATAATAATTCATGTAATAATAAAATATCTCTGCAAAAGCATATATTGATCACCACACACCATCTTTTCAATGCTGATGTGCATCACTCATGTTGTTGCATGACAACTTAGAGCCTTCATTAATCCCATCACCACAAGCAATTTTTACATTTTGAACTATCATTACATACCTAAGTGAATTAATTTCCATTAATTTTTTTCTTCCCATTTATTGAGCTTCCATAAATTTTAATGTTTAACATTCCGTACATTTGTCATGGAACCACCACTTAATCACTTATTTTTTTTTCTTCCAATTAAGCTTTACTTTGACAAGGAATTCTCATTGCTACTTGGCAAAGATAGGAGTAATGAGTTCAGCATGCCTATGCTGTTAGTAGCTGCGAGAAGAAAATACTTCAAGGAGAATTTCTCAACTGTCATAACAGATGCTGCTCCAGTCGAATCTGTTCAAGTGTATTGGAATTCTCTGAGGCCTTTTCCACTTCTAAATGGTGTAAATCTATTTCTGCTTTCCCACCTGTCTTCAGTGAATTTTAGTTAGAGAAAACAAATAGATACTTACCTGAAGATTCACTTGCAGAGGCTCTGGTTTTCTTTTTTGCTTCTGGTAATGTCTGATAGGGTCTCTGTCCTACTGGCTCATCTCCTTGTATAGTAGTCAAATCATGCATACTGAAACTTCTCAATTTCTCAGTTATCGCACCTTGACTCTGAAATACAGCAACAGTATCTTTGAAAACAAAGCAGAGGTTTAACTTTGCTGTTCAAGTTGAGTTAAGATGTTTAAGCCCATGCTTCCTTGTTGCACTACAAAATTAATTGAACATAAGCATGCGGAAGTTTTACATTTGCTTTAAGTATTGCTTTTACCCAAACTTAACCGCATGTTGCTCCTAGACAAAAAAAGTTACAGATAAGCTAGCAATTTTGTTACAAATCTCTCATTTCACTTCCTTTAATCTGAGCAAATAAAGGCTTTTTGGGTGAGGGTAAGTGTTTAAACAAAACAAAAAAAAAAACCCACACTCAGAAATGATCCATTCACTTCAAACATTATATTTCTCTAGCAGTGCTTAGTAGCATGACAGTGGGTTTAACGCTTCTGTTTTAAAAAGTGTGGTTGAAGATAAATAAAGATTTCTGTTATTTTACATTTTACCATCCACAAACTTGAACACATGTAAGAAAAGAAAAAATTGTTAAAAATACATTCTGTAATGTATTTTTACTCAAGTAACTGAGAAACTGGTAGCACTACAAATGCTCTAGTTCACAGAAACTTGAAACCACAAACCAAAGAGGTCCTGCCTGGACTACAGGCTAGCAGGTTCTCTTACTAAAGTAGCTTTACTGACATAATACCAACCCAAAAATCTAATGCTACATATAAGGATAACTCATCTCACATTTGAACATTAATAACCCTTCTCTGATTGTCTTTACGTCTTTTCTACACGGGACATATAGCAAGTTGCCCTTTGGAAAGAAAGGTCATTGAGCAGCTCTTTCATCTTACACCAGATGATGTTGTTATTAAAGCTCTGAAGATTAATTTATTGTATAAGCAAAAGAACAAGCACATTAGTCAACATCATGTTAAAAATAATGTTTAATTCTTCCCTCTCTGGCATATGAGCCAAAAAATAACCATCTCAGAGGAAGGTTGACATGCCCGTGCATGAACCCTCCCTCCTTCACGCAAGGGTGCAAGATTTCGTCTCATTCTTAATTATAAATGAAGCTTTTATGTAAAATTCCTCAATTTGATCATTGTGTTAGCTAGCAGCAGCAGAAATGTGTGTATAATTCCACGCACTTTTCTCTGCAGCAGCACCAGCATAAGGCAGTTCTCGCACCACTGGCCACAGCCATTTGTTCCCCCTCTCATTGCAACAACTGTTTGCAGATGGTAGACCAGCACACAAAATTAGCCCTGTTAAAAATAGCAAGTGAAGAGACAGTACACTGATACTTCTTAAGCTTGCATGGCTACCAAGGTGGGGGGGGGGGGGGGGCCTGAGC